CTTTAAAGTTGCTAAGTAACGATACTTCAAGTATGACTTTTGAAACTGTCATCTGGATGAAATAAAAACTCATCTTAGGTCGCTTTCTGTAAATGCAGAACATTTCTTTGGCTTTTGTACCTATCCTTTCGTTGAAGCTTTCACAAACGCGCGTAATTTAGGGTATGCTTCCAAATCTGTTCCACTTTTTAATCGCAGCATTGCTTTAGTTTTGAATGAATGCACCAAAATATAGAAGATTTAAATACCTTTGACATTTCCTTCATATATGCCAGCATTAGGGATGCATTTAAGACTGTATTCGTAAGTAACTTCCTATTCGTCCATGGAAACAACTTTTCATATTCTTTATAATAGGCTTTACGGGAGTTGGATTTTACACCTACCAAAGTTTGTTTAGATTTTACGACAAGCGATTTAATGGACGGTGTATTATCTTTTTCAACGGAAATCGTTTTATTTACAAAGATTATGATGATTATAAGCAAACGTCAAGTGACATTTCCATGGCAATCGTGAAATTTCGAACACCCAGCCCACTTAATTAAACATGTAAATTCGAGTATAACGTCAATATGACTTCATTGTATTTCCGGTTTTTAAATTATACTGCAGGTATAATAAAAAATACTATAAGAATAAGATACACGTGTATAATTGGTCTTTAAAGCACTTGCAACGTTAAAGGCACTCCGCTTTGCGTCGTGCCCTTAAACTCGTTGCGCGTGCTTTAAAGACTTGATTATACACTTGTATCGTAATATACTATATTACAGATAAGGTTGACGAACCGTCAAAAATGTCACAAATTCTCAAAGAAGTTTATCTAAATATTCAAACATCTACGAATTAAAACGCAAAATACATATGAAACATCACAACGCATATAGATTTTCTGAAAATTAATTTACTTCTCTGTAAATTTGTATTTTAAAGCAATATTTTGGGTATTTATATTCAGCGCACGGAAAGAATCAAAGGGATCGGGAAAAGTTTTTCCGTGCGCTAGCCTGGAAAAGGCCAGATACCATTATTCCTAATACAGGTGTAAATAAGCTGATTTCAATGAAGTATAATAAAAAATATTGTTATTATTAAAGTCGCACGGAAATACACGTTTTGAAGCACCAGAAATCAGAATCAAACAAAATCTCGATTATGTCGATCTGTCTGTCGGTCTGTGTGTCTGTACTATCACTTCCGGCTAAACGCCTGAATCTTTTTCAACCTTTGGTACACATATTCTCGGATATAAAAGGGCAGAACGACGCATGGGGCGGTGTGCATTTCATTTAATAAATCATGACTGTTCGAGCCTAAGAAAACCGAGTTCGTCCAACGCAGCTAGGAAATTGACTGATAAGGGCAGTGTTTGCGCTTGTGAATATGGAGCAGTTAGAAATACTGCGAAGAGTGAGTCTGAAGAAGGAAGATGGTGTAGCAGTGCCTTTGGATAACCGCTCAGCAGTGACAGCGAGAAAACTTCTTTGACGCAGAGAAGAGAGGTGATTTCCTGGGTATCGTTATCAAGTCCGACACTGTCTCCCGGCAGAGCTAGAGGACCTGCGTGGCCATCGCTCAGACAGTGATGCAAGCCTGTCAACCACTGTCCTTCGGTTCTCCCATTTTGCTATAGGCGCCCATTTTTATCAGAAGGAGGCCTACCGTGTTCTGATTGACACAAAAAGTACCCATTACTCTTTGGTCACGTTTATGTTCGTACCTAAATTATTGTTTATGTATATTATGAAAATGTAAAATCATTGTATTGTGTAATGAAGACCAGGTCGTATGTTACTTATGTATGTTACGTTTTCGTATGTTATGGATGACCTGCCATAAACATATTTACAGAATATGTAACGTGGTAAATAATAAATGAAATACGAAATATCAATTTCATCCAAAATATAACTTTCTTTATTTACAACAATGGTGCGTTATTTTGAACCCTTAACTTTGGATAATCTTTTCTTTTAACTATGAAATTATGAAAGACAGTAGATTAAAGTAACAGCGCCTATGTAAGTACTTTGCACATACTTCAGTGAAGGTAAATAATTGTTGACTTGAACAAACTACAATATCACATATCACAAAGGACCAAGGCAAAATGGTTACCTCCGAAACAGAGAAAGAAAAGCGAGCTAGGTGTACGTTCTTTATTTACATACTGTCTACTGTATTATACATCAGACATATAGATCAAAGCATTGTTATGAAACTAACTTCTAGGACACGTATAGGCGGCGCTGCACATTCGTCTAGTAGGTTTATAAACAGTGGACCCGGCGCAAGTTCGAACTTCCTTAAAATATCCTCCACTGGCTAGCTTAGTACAGAAAAAATAGGTCTTGCACGCTGGATCAGCTAAATTGTCAAAGTTGCCATTATGATCACATTCAAATCTATCAGGGTACGACAGTGTTGTAGAAGGAAGGACAGTAGTTGTAGATGTAGGGCATTTTGGGCAGGTATATGTCGTTGAACATGCGGTCAAATAGGGATCGAAGGTTGAACCAGCGGGGCAATGTCCTATTTTCTGTACGAAACCTCCATTGGGTTGTCTCGTACACGATATGAATGTTTTGCAGTCTACGTCTCCCAAATTAGGAAATGATCCTGAAAAAGTACAGTGGAATAAATCGGGATATGTTGGCGGATAACATGGCGCAATTATGACGCCCGAAGTTGTAGGTTTGCTGGTTGAACCCTGAGTTGTTACTTTTGGAGTAGTAGATTCGGTAATGGCATTATCCGTTGTTGTAGGTGGATTGGTTGGACCCTGAGTTGTTACCTTTGGAGTAGTAGATTCGGTAATGGCATTATCCGTTGTTGTAGGTGGATTGGTTGGACCCTGAGTTGTTACCTTTGGAGTAGTAGATTCGGTAATGGCATTATCCGTTGTGGTAGGTGGATTGGTTGGACCCTGAGTTGTTACCTTTGGAGTAGTAGATTCGGTAATGGCATTATCCGTTGTGGTAGGTGGTTTGGTTGGACCCTGAGTTGTTACCTTTGGAGTAGTAGATTCGGTAATGGCATTATCCGTTGTGGTAGGTGGTTTGGTTGGACCCTGAGTTGTTACTTTTGGAGTAGTAGATTCGGTAATGGCATTATCCGTTGTGGTAGGTGGTTTGGTTGGACCCTGAGTTGTTACTTTTGGAGTAGTAGATCCGGTAATGGCATTATCCGTTGTGGTAGGTGGATTGGTTGGACCCTGAGTTGTTACTTTTGGAGTAGTAGATCCGGTAATGGCATTATCCGTTGTGGTAGGTGGATTGGTTGGACCATGAGTTGTTACCTTTGGAGTAGTAGATCCGGTAATGGCATTATCCGTTGTGGTAGGTGGATTGGTTGGACCCTGAGTTGTTACTTTTGGAGTAGTAGATCCGGTAATGGCATTATCCGTTGTGGTAGGTGGATTGGTTGGACCCTGAGTTGTTACTTTTGGAGTAGTAGATCCGGTAATGGCATTATCCGTTGTGGTAGGTGGAATGGTTGGACCCTGAGTTGTTACTTTTGGAGTAGTAGATTCGGTAATGGCATTATCCGTTGTGGTAGGTGGATTGGTTGGACCCTGAGTTGTTACTTTTGGAGTTGTAGATCCGGTAATGGCATTATCCGTTGTGGTAGGTGGATTGGTTGGACCCTGAGTTGTTACTTTTGGAGTAGTAGATTTGGTAATAGCATCATCCGTTGTGGTAGGTGGATTGGTTGGACCCTGAGTTGTTACTTTTGGAGTAGTAGATTCGGTAATGGCATCATCTGTTGTGGTAGGTGGTTTGGTGGTTGTTACTTTTGGAGTAGTAGAATCGGTTGTATCTCGAGTTGTAACTTGTGTGGTTGTGGAGGCTGTGGGTGTTGTAGTGCATCCTGGGCAGACATATGTCGATGAGCATTTTGCTACGTAGGGATCAAAAGTTTTGCCATTGGTGCATGTATGTGTTGACTGTTGGTAACCTCCCTTGGGTTGCGGCGTGCACAATATGTATTGTGTGCAGCTTACATCTCCCAAGTTTGGAAAATGTCCTGAAGAAGTGCAGTGAAATATTTCGGGGTATGATTCCGGTTGGCACGGCGCGTAGATGTCACCGTCAATCGGTCCGGTTGGAGTGTTTGGTGTCGGATTTGTAACTTGTGAATTAGTGGCATCGGTTGTTGTTGTATAGGAACTTGTGCATTCGGGACAGATATATGCCGTTGTGCATTCTTCCAGATTGGGATCGAATTTTAAACCATTGTGGCATTCGTGCTTATTCTGTAGATAACCTCCTTTGGGTTGTAGCTGGCACGATATGTATGATGTGCAGCCTACATCTCCCAGATTTGGAAATGATCCTGAAGAAGTACAGTGAAATGTTTCGGGATATGTTTCCGGATAACACGGCGCAATATTTTTCTTCTGCAGTTTTCTTTGTCCCAGTGTGAACGCATGGTTCAAATTAATTGTGCAAATGAGCGTAATTATCTAAAATAGATTTAATGTATTTTTAAGAAGGGTAGTATATGTGTGTACTTACAGTGGCTGCTGTGGTGTGGTACCTCATACCGCGGTTGACTCTGTTCTGCTCTGCTCTATGCTGGAGTTCCTTTTATTATAAGTAGCTGTGTATTACTGATATTGCAAAATGACTGCTCCTCATGTTTTTTATATTTGAGCAATAAATTAGAAGAGTTATCTTATTTTAATTGTTAATAAAAAACAAGTTTAAATATTAAACAATATTTACACGTTGTATACTAAAAGATTTTAACGTGACGAAACTTTTATGTGAACACTAACGAGGTTTTTAAGAATTTCGAAAGATATTTCACCAGAGTCACCGTCTATTTCACAATTTGAGAATGGTCTCATGTTACACGTCAAAAATATAAGTGTCGCCTAGGTAAACCGAGGGTGTTATTTTCTTCTTATTTCACTATTATGGAAATGTTAGACAATACCTAACCAAAAATATCTCTACCACTTTGAGACATTTTTCTATTTTATAATGGCATTTTTTCCTTTTTAAAGCAGATACCTAATCTGTAAATAAAGCCTTGATTGTGCCTGCTAATATGCAGGTGTATAAACAATCTAGTCTACCATTTGTGTAAACATTTAGTGCAAAGTGCAACGTTTTGAAAATAAGAATTTGCAAGGCCAAACCGACAGCTCCTCTGTCAATTCGAGGTGTGAATGTGGTCGAAGATAAAATAAAGAAAACGTTCTGTGACCATGAACACATGTTCTATCCGTCATGGTGTTCTAATGAAAGGTCTCATCGAAGTATAATTTTCCTGCGCGACTCCTTTTTGAGATAGTGGCTGACCGGTGAAAGGGGTGTTGGTGGTAGAAATGGATAGAAATAGGAAATAGTCCTTCCACTCCATCCCTCATCGTGATTGTTTGCATTTCTTAAATCTCAAGAGCGGATTGTCGGAAGAAGGTACTCACAAAATCAAAATGAATCGTCTGAACGAGACATAAATAATATTAGTGAAATAGAAGCGAATATTTTGAAAGACGAAATGGCAGAAGAGAGTACTCATAAAGGGCAAGTGGAAGGTCTGGACGGGGAACATCTACTGTTGATGTCAAAACTTCACTGCCAACATCTACAGAACGCAATGTGGGGGATTATTCTCAAGGGGCACAAAGACATATCTCCTAGCGATGTAAAAACTAAATTGCGAATATCTCGAAAATGTTTGAGGGAAAAACAGTATTTAGGAGAATTTCACTAAGGACTTGATTCTTCTTGCATTATATAGCGTAGATTTTGGATGTATGCCAAGCGGCCTTAAAATGTTAGTGTCCCCTTTCCATTAATAATCTACCAATATAGTAAATTTATAACGGGTGGGTGGAGTGGGCGAAAAATTGGCACTCCAAGTAAAAGTAAAACATAGAAGGCAATGCAGAAAATTAAACGTTGACGCCATGAAGTGAGCTCAGTTCTCGCATCCAAATACCTGCAAACAAAAAAAAACTTCCCAAGCCGCAGAGCTGGGTACACAATTAATTGACCAGTGCCTGAAGGGGCTTGCTCTACTCGTAATCTGCTTGCATAACAGGTATGGTATTTAATTGGAAAGCCGCTTTAGAAGGAAGTGGCTGTCTAATATCTATTTCAAACTCTATCATAACTTAACCGAGATAGCAGAAATATTAAATAGGTAATAATAGTTTAAAAATTAACTGAATGTCATAGCATATAACCCTGGAAGGGCAAATAGGGCAAGGCAAGGTTAATACTAATACGCTAAACTTACAAAAGTTGTCTCTTTGTTTGGGATCGAATCCCTATGTCAAATCTCGTTGCGGACCTAGTGACCCAATCCCAGAAAATGACCGCTCGTTACCGGCAGGTGGTAAATATGTCAAAGATGTTGTCACTCACAGGCAAATGGCGAGCTTGAATTAAATTTGAATTTGAACGGACATTAAAATTGGTCTGGTCCTTAAACTAGTACCATAAATTAAAACTAGAAGTAAAGATCATAAAAGATCATAAAAGAAAAAAGAAAGTTAACCCTTTCCTTTGATAACCTAAAATGTACTAACCTCTTAAATAAGGGAGCTAATTATAGATTAAGCAATAATCGTCGATAGAAAATTGTCGTATAACAGAAGCAAAGGTACACTTCAATTACGGAACATACCAATGCGATACTTACGATAAAGAGGAAAAATGCCATTATATCCCCCTACGGAGTTAAAGGCGAATCCGTTCACTAATTATTCCAGAATCCCCAATTTAATGAATCCAGGGTGAATTACCTATTATAATAAATTTTTTCTTTTCGACGTTTATTGTCATCATCAGGCCGTAGCTCTAGAAATGTCTCCTGTCAAGAATGTAAGGTTATAAAATTAGAACGCCCACCCTGACCCAGGCCCGATAGGCGAGCGTCGTGGGCTCGTTGTGGTCGCTAGTAATGACGTCATATCTGACGTTGCGATTGCGACCATAACGACTGTGGTCGTTATGTGGAACAGCGGCCGGGCGTCGTGGTCGTTGCGGGCGTTAAGTGGAACGTACCCTATGTAATAAAAAAGATGCAACTTGATTCGTATGAAGCACTTTAATGTTGGGAAAACAATAATGATGTTTGTATATTGGAAATGCATTCTTTGGAACGATGAAAAATAAAATGTTGTATGCACCTCAGGCATTACTCAATATTTAACCCTCGGGCAACTTACAATCCATCGGGCCGGAGGCCCTCGGGCTCTGTCGCCCTCGGCATAAATATCGCCTTAATGCCCTTGATGCATAAATAACTATTGCAAGCGTTTGCCTCAAGGTCGTATGTGAGCGGGGATTATGGAGTTCCAAACCGCCAACATTTACAAAAATGTAAACAAATATAGCAAACGAGCTCCTGGATATGGCTATAGCATGCAATTCGGTTCATATTAGAACTAACAGAGATGTCAATAGGGCCTTCTTTATTTTTTGGCCTGCATTTACGGACTCCGACAAATTTGATAAAGAATCCACCTGCAAAATTTTATTGCAACCGGTCCATTCGTTTTCGAGATATTGACGGACGGACGGACAGACACCGCAACATTATAAACTCGCTAGGAGCTCGTTAATCATCACCAAAATGGGCGTAGAATTTGAAAAAGGCAAGTAGCTACACTGTTTCGTTTTGTCACACAAGCATTAAATAATCCACTGAAATAACACCCTGTCTGGATACTGTAAGTATAATTTATAACATATTTAGTATGCATCTAACTTCTACTAACAGCTCTCATTTAAAACAAGTTAAAAAGTAATCGTAAACGATTTACATAAAACGCATTTCCACTTGCATTCATTTCCCATTTGTAAGATGCAACTTCTATTAAAATCGTAAAAATCCGGCCACAAATATGAAAGATAGCGTTGCACATGGGCAATCCATTTTTGACGTGCTACTTCAATTTCAGTTTATGAGAAGAATTTTATTTCAATGCTTTTCTAAATAAGAAAGTTGGAACTGCGCATGCGCAAACCTAAATTTTGAAACTAATGTTAGATTTTCCTTTGTTCCAAGCGCCTAAGTATCAAATTTCACTTAAATGCTTCCATAGATAAAAAAGTTGGCACTGCGCATGCGCAAAACCAAATTTTGAATCTGGCGTTTGATTTTCCTTTATTCCATGTGCCTATGTATCAAATTTCATTTAAATTCTTCCATAAATACAAAAGTTGGCACTGCGCATGCGCAAAACCAAATTTTGAAATTGGCGGTTGATTTTCCTTTATTCCAAGTGCCTATGTATCAAATTTCATTCAAATACTTTTATAAGTAAAAAAGTTTGCAATTCGGTTTATGGTCGAGATGCGAAAAGGGCACTGTGAATTTTGAATCGATTCGATTCAACTTTTGGCATTGCTCTAAATATTCGAAATGGTTTACTCAAGAAATTAAATTCAATATCGAGCTCAAAGCAAAGTACCTAAAAAAATTTAAAACTCACTCTCTTTTTGTCGACTTATGCGAGTATAAACGTCTTAGAAGCCTAATTAAAACACAAATAAATGCCGCCTACAAAATCTACATACAAAAAGTGGAGAACTCGGTCACTAGTAATCCTAAATATTTCTGGAATTTCGTCAACTCTAAGCGAGGTTTCTCTAGAATACCAGGTAGAGTTACATACTCAGATAATGAATACTTCCGTCCACAAGATATTGTAAATACTTTTTCGGAGTACTTTAGCAGCGTTTACTCGAACACCTCTTCGTTGGATGTGTCACATCAATTTCGTACCTACAACACTGTACCATCTGTTATAGTTCGAGATATTACGATGGATGAGATAATAACTGCTATACGACGATTAAAAGACTCACATACTGCTGGATGTGATCAAATTCCCTCTTTCTTAATTAGAGATTGTGCTAATGTGTTTGCGGAGCCATTATTTTATATATTCAATGCGTCGCTAAACAAGAACACCTTCCCTGGGATATGGAAAATGGCTAATATCTGTCCAATTCTAAAAAGTGGAAATCCCAGTGATGTCACCAATTATAGACCCATTAGCATCTTAAATAATTTTGGCAAAATCTAAGAAATTATCCTCTATGCAAGAATCTATCCTTCCGTTAAGCAACTGTTATCCCCTGCTCAGCATGGATTTATGGAACACAAGTCAACTGTTACCAACTTAGTCTGTATCACGCAGTTTATTGCTAATGTGCTTGACAATCGTGGGCAAGTTGACGTGATTTACACCGACTTTGCGAAAGCATTCGACTCCATTCCGCATAACATCATCCTTGCCAAGCTAGACAACTTTGGATTTAGCGAATCTCTTCAGCTTCTCTTCAAATCATACTTGAATAATCGACGTCAATATGTCAGCTATAATAACTACACTTCCTTCGCCATTACTGCTACTTCTGGGGTACCCCAGGGGTCGAATCTGTTTTTATTGTTCATAAACGACTTACCGGAACGACTGGTTACTAATAACTTACTCTTTGCTGACGACTTCAAAATCTACGCATCTATTTCATCAACGACCGATTGTGCGCTTGTTCAACGGCAACTTGATGTTCTTAGTGACTGGTGTGTTATGAACGGCTTATCTCTAAATATTAATAAGTGCAAAGTGGTTACTTTCAATCGCAAATTTAAACCGTATATATTTGATTACCTACAGTGTTAATTCTACTATACTTACTAGAGCAGATATCATTAAAGATTTGGGTGTTTACTTTGATAGTGAGCTCACATTTAACCATCATATCAACAATATTTGTAAATCTGCTACTTCAACGCTAGGTTTTATTCTACGGAGCTGTAAATCGTTTTCAAATATTGAAGCACTAAAATGCCTGTACTGTTCGTTAGTTCGCACAAAGTTGGAATATTGTGCTGTCATTTGGAGCCCGTTGCATCGTAACCAAAAAGATAAGCTAGACTTACTTCAGCGTAAATTTTTAAAGTTTCTAGTATATAGACTGGACCGTAACTATCCTCCAAGAGGATTTGATCAGAGTTTATTATGCGCCAGATTCAACTTTTCATCACTAGAGGTTCGACGAAATCAATCTACTGTAACTTTTTTATATAAACTTCTACACAATTTAGTTGACTGTCCCGATTTCCTATCCTTGTTATGTTTTCATGTTCTATCTTACACTTCCAGAAACTCCACAACATTTTACACTCCCGCTGCTCGCACAGATCTTTTGCGCAACTCTCCTTTGTTTAATATGGTTAGGCTTTTTAATAATTTATCTTTTCTCGGCGACATCCATTTTCATAGACTGGTTATTATAAATATAATGAACAATCTTTAGTTTCTTTTTCCCTTGTTCATGTGCTAATTTAAGGTTTTCTAAATCTCAATATTATTATGTTTAGTTATCTTTAGTTTACAAATTTATTTGATTTAATTTACTTTGTGTGCACTTACCAGGTAATTAACGTGTATATGTCCTGTAATTGGAATGTTTTTCTGTAGGACATTAAATGATTATTTATTTATTTATTTATTTATTTATTTATTGCGTATTATATGGCTAAAGCTATGCCCATATTGAATTTCATGCAATTCAGTTAATAACTAACGGAGATGTAAAAGCGATCGAACATTTCTAAACAAAGTTATCGTTCACACGGACAGATAGATGGACAGACAGACAAAGGAACAGACAAACGGACAGACCAACAGGCAGACGACAGATAGCAATGCAAAATTATAAACGATTTCTAGGATCGTTAATAAACGGCAAAAGTGTAAATTTATGGAACATCTAAAAATCGGTTTTTTGTTTTTTTTTACAATAACTTTATTTGTAAGCGGTACAGAAAAAATTCCTTCCTTGGTACAAGACTCGACACCATAACGAACCAAATAGCGAAAAAAGTAGAACAATAGCTCTTAAGATAAAACTAGTAGCGTCGCAAAACGAGCGGACGGACGGACGGACGGACGGACGGACAAAGTGGCCACAATAGCGCATTTTTTTTTATTTTTGTGAAAATGCGCTAAAAATACCGTATTATCATTCTTATTTCTCATGAATATTGAATATACAATGATAATAGTATGCATCACGCTAAAGCGAGAATGCTGTTAAGTTGCCTAACCGTTGGAAAATATTTGAGAATTTTTTAAGTAAATTTGAGATTGTTTAACCAAAGGATAACGTAGCAGAAGAACTCGCTTCCGAAATTTTCGAAACCAAGAGAACGCGCCCCCGGAGTATTTGCTCCAGAAGATTCGCCCTCTGAAATTTTGTCGGCAGTATCTTCCCCAGGAACACAAGCGTATCGTCTTTCTTTCACTTTCGAAGTGCAAGGTTTCGATGTCGCATTTTTATTAGTTGACAGTTTTTCTAGTCTAATTGCTAGAAAACAGATTTTCATTACCTAAACAACTCAAATTTACTCGGTAAAATACAAACCTCTTGTGCAGTTATAAGTGAGAATATTCTAGAGCTGTAGCCTTCGACGTTTTTTTTTGGGGGGGACTAACAGACTAACACTCCGTGGGGTTTCTTGGGAGGGAATATTCCGGGGCGAATTTTCAAAATTATTCGGTGTCGATGGCGTTTTAAGTGCAAAATTTCCGACTAAAAAAAATACAAACGTAAACCTACCCAGAGTTAGTAGTAGGTACCCTCGTTTTCGGTCGACATGGATTGCTAGGTAACATTTTATGGCATCCCTAACTTTACCTGTCCTTACATTTCCGTTGTCTGGCTGAAGAGGCTCTGGTAAACTCGAACATACGGCGTCCCTGGTATCAGGGATGTTGGAAACACGATGACCTTTTCCTTAATAATACAGCACACTGTAGGTCTATGAAAATTTTAACTATTATAAAAACCGAACCGAATCCTTAAGTTACATTTTGAGGCTGCTTCTTCAACCTTGTACTTGAAGCTGGGATTGAAACTTTGGTCTTAAATCTCGAAATTGATTTAACGAGCGATACTCGTAGCTTGAAGTCAAACTCTCTTTTGTATATTTTTTACTCGAAAATCGCCCCGCCTCTTCTGTATCGACACCACGGCCCATCTCCCGATCAAGAATTGAAGAGGTAACAGAATTTAAATATTTACTGTACCAAATGCAAAGAAATAGGACAAATGTAGAGATAATGGAATTAAAGAAAAAGGTGTGGGGAATTGGAGAAAGGGGGTTCAAGAATGTTTTTTGAAAGTACCTGTCACATGCAATGGTAAGAGAGGAGCTCATATACACAACGGAGAAAGAGATGTTATAAATGGATCTTAGGGTCAAACGGAAGGACCGCAAATTGTATGTTAGAGGCAGAAACAAAAATGGAAAATATAAGAACAGCGTCGGGGTGCAGGGCGGTAAGATTCGAGGAAACGGGCGATAGACAAAATGAATTGGTGAAAGAATGCTTGACAACGAGGATGAACGAAAAAGGAATGTAAGAAGAATAAAGAAAGAGAGGGAAAAAGAAATAGAGACATGAAGAAAAAAAGAAAATATAGAATATGCAGGGAGGAAGAAAAGGAGAAGGAATGCATGTTATGGACGGAGGTTAAAATGACAGGGAGTAGTAGGAGTGAGGTGCTGGATGAGGGGCGAGGAGGTGAGAAGTGGATTTTAAAGAATAGAACGGAAAAAATGAGTTTCAGTTTTGTTACGGAAAAAAAAGGGCTAAAAAACCTGAATTTTTTGCGGCAAAACGGTTATTTTGATTTCGTTTTAGCAGTGACAGAGGCCCACAATGGCAACTCTTATCCTTTTTCCCTCCATAGGTACGTATACTGACTATTTCATGCAACAGAGATCGCGATATCTGTGGAAATTGGCTGCTGAACTAGGTAATTGTGAAACGTCTGTTCTCCATGGCGCGCTGCCGCACCAGCTCCACAAGGTCGCCATTGATGGTGTACGGTCGTCCATTGCGCTTTCCATTATGGAATTTTCACTACCTTCGGACAATTGCCTACACCAACAACGCACCATCTGCTTGCTCATGATGTTCGGTTCGTAGACCTGACAGAGTTGCCGATGAATTTCGATCAGTGCTGATTTTTGGTCATTGAGAAACTTTATTGCTGATCGAGCCTCTCAACCAGCGGTAGATAAGTAGAGGAATTTTGAATGAGTCGTGAAGGAGTTGTGATGAAGGTGCTAGCAAAACGCAAAGGAAGACGCATGAAAGAATTGTAAAAGAAGTGCGAAGATAGCGGTAAGGAGACAAAAAAAGAGGCGTGACAGAATAGTTGGGAAATTGGTGAAGTCCTTAAGGAATACGCGATGTAAAAGAATAGTGGGAAAGGAGGCATGATAGAAATTTGGTAGGAGGCTAGAAAAAGACGCGGAGGAGTTGGTCTTTTGGAGTGTCATTTGCCACTTGGAGGTCCCAAAAATTGCTCAAATTGATACTCCCCATCATGGGTTTACCCTACCGTACTATATAAACCTCTCGCCAGATCATAGAACACTTGATCCCGGTCTACAATCTATGTTTTTCTAAAGATGTGAGCGACTTCCGGGATAGTATCGGCTCAATGTTAAACAAAAAGACTTTTCGTTCAACATCGGCACGATCCTATTTTGGAAGTCGCTCGCACCTTAAGAAAAACATAGATTGTAAATCGACACAAGGTGTGCTGTGATCGGCAATCTTTCCTGGCGAGAGTTATATAGGAGGGTTCAGTTAATGTACCATACCCCAAAAAGGGGTTTAGGTAAACCACCAAAATGCTTCGGGATAAGAGTATGTTAAAATTGATAGGACCTCTAGGAAAGCTACTAGTTTAAACAATTTAGATCGGGGGACCTATACTCAACAACGATTCCTTTGTTTTCTAGACACTCAGGAGCTCATCACAATTACCTGAATTGTGAACGCTTACAATTTTACGTGTGAGTACAGTTGCGACAAAAAAATGTCTTCACCAGACGAGGACATAATGCAATTTCTTTTACTAAACACAATGTCAAGCCTAATCTTTATTTGTAGATTTCAACAACGCCTTGGATTAGGTAATAAAATTCAATTGAACCTGTATGCCATCTGCTCACGCCGATGACGTATTTGGCTTGGAGGCTCGTACAGCCGACCGCTACTTGTAAATACAGGAGCCACGTTTTTCACAATCAACCAAGTTGGATAAGTACCATATTGCCTAAATAACTGTGGTTGAAATTCGTTTAAAAATTCTGTCGGTACACCATGGGAACTAACTCGACTGCTCTGCTGATGTTGGTCCTTTGGTGGTGGCGATTCGTAGCTATCTAGGTGTCTAAATTCTGGCGCAGGATATAGTCCTCCTGCATTAACCAGCGGCTGACACTTGTTTACTTTCTTCAGCAGAATTTTTAAGCGTCTTACGGTTTCATCCGGGAAGATATCTTCGTAATCAGGACTGTCGCCTAGGTTATCCGTAAACAAATCAGTGAAGTTGACAAGAAATTGTTCGTTCAAGTTGAAGAAGTGAGTACCTATGTCGTCCAGGAAGCGGTTCCACTCTCTGTTTATTGTTATATTTGGTACAGTTGGAATTTCGCGAATGGATTCGACGGGAATTTCAATTTGCTTTTCTAAACCCATGATTGGAAGATCTTGTAGGTTCAGCACACCATGTTCGAGCACGTGATCCATTGTCACCCTCACCTTTATCGAAATTTTCTGTTTTGGCAAGACACATGGTGGAACGTGAGGATTGGGTGGGGGAAAAGCGGTATCGGTGCCCTTATCTTCGGTGCTATTAGAGCTCTCTTGGCTTAATGCTATCCTATCTCTGACCTCAATCGGCGCGCTTTCGGTTGATGGTGAAGCTGTAGGGGCAGCTCTTTCAGTTGCGGTTGGTGTTCGATCGGGAAGTATTAAGTTTGATGGTTGTATAAGTGTAGGGTTACGTTTTGCGTCTTCTTCTGGCACTCTCTGTGGTTCAGCTGTGGTTTTAGAGCTGCTATTGGAGATATCTTCAAAAGGTTGCAGTGTAGTGGTAACATTCGTTAAACCACCAATCACTGAAGGTGTAACTGTTGCAGTACCCGCTGTAGTTAAATTCGATGACCCAACAAGAGGTGCGTTAGGTAGAGCAATTTTGAAATTACTCCTCTTGGGGCTTACCTTTATTTCTAACCTTTCCTTATTCGTGCGTGGCCAGCCAATTAGTTCTTTACTGTAAATCGGACCGGAACCGCAAGACATATTTCGATGTTGGCTTATAACTACATCTCCAGTTTCGCTTATAGTTGTAAAGTTCACCATTTGACTTTTTTTAGTGGATTGGTCATATACCAAATACTGCCGTACCTCCGGCGCATTTACTTCAACATATTTTGGAGGTATATCCGCTTGCGTTTCAAATGTTATTGCGTACTCCTTTGTGACGGACTTTGAGCCATTCGCCAACTCGGTCAGCGTCAATATTTCTGACCAGCACAGTGAGGTGTAATAACCTTTATCTACAGTTTCACTGGTTTTCGTAGTATCTTCATTAACAATCTCCCTAAATATATCCGTGTAACGGTTCGTGTCATTTTGTATACCTCCCAGAGGTGTCTCTTGAAGTGGCAATCGAAACACGTTTTCGTCTGGATTGCTTTCATCGCAACAGCAATTCTGGAAACAGAAACGGTAACTAACCACTAATTTCAATTGAATGAGTGATGATAAAATTGAAGTGAAACCCTTTTTAACCACTATTTGCACGAAAACTATATCACCTTTCTACTTCAATTTCGATTCATCACTACTTACTACTGACATTTGTTCCACTTGCTTCCTACTTACATTTTTTTCTTCGGCCAAAATGTCTTGCAAATGTAAAACCTGCAAGAAAAACGTCGTGTAAAGATCGTAACTACAACAGAGATTGGGAGAAGGGAAATATTTTGGGACCATAACCTGCAAAGGTACAACTTTGAGAAATAAAGTTTAACTCACCCAAAAAAGAAGTGAATAGAAACCACCACCACTAATTATTGATCTCATGGTGCAGCACGGAGAAGCAACAAGGACTCGGCGCATATAAATCAATCGGTTATATATAGATCGAAGGTAATAAATCGCCGATAGTTGCTATAAAGATCACATTTCCGGCATTATAATCGATTGTTACAGAAAATTTGTTAATTTCATACGTTATTGTGCCTCCCTTTGTTCGTATGCAACTGTAATTTTGCAATACAGAGAACGTAAATGCCATGGCTATCGTGCAAATTATCCATCCCCAAATTACGCACTTCAATAATAGCTATTAGCGCAAACAAACTTTTTATGTCACTACAATCAACGGTAATTTCCAGTTGATCAAATTTTTCACGCTACGAGATTTGCGGAATACTTTCTCAATCGCAATGCTGAAGTTCGTTCCAGTTTTGTAAGGTACTGATGACTTAAAATGTCGCCATTACCTATAGGTGTGAGGTCAATCTGGTGTAATTACTAGCAAAAACATTTATTTTTGATATTGCACTCATATCTTCCAAAAACTTTTAAGGAAAGACCATTGTCCGTACTACATTTTTGAATTTCTGCATAGGTAGGTAAAGTTTATTGCAATTTGGATGTATTCTTGTGGAATTTCCAAAAAATGTTATGCATCAATGCTTCAAATTTACATTTTTTTATTTTTTTGGTATTCTCCTGAGTAAATTAGACCGCAGATCTTTGAACCAAATAGTCTAATTATAACCAAGTATATAGTTGCCGGAACTTTTTTCTAGCAAAGAAAACGAATGGTCTTTGGATCATTAATGACCACAAGTGTTTGCACGAGTTTATTTCGACTTAAATTTCCGAGCTTTTACAACCAATAATAATTGCGACCATTATTAAACAAACTTTTCACAATTTCAGTGCTTTATTTTACGTTCCTTCCCTACTGTGCTTCAGGTCATAGCGTTGTTTACAACTAACGTAAGGGGGCCTTTATTTCCGTGTTCTTGTAGTGTGAAGTTAGTGTTGAACCTGGGGGTTAAGTACACTACAACGTTGAATAATTTAACACCATAATAGTTAGAGCAGTGTTTCTCAAACATTTTCTTGTTTGGCGGCACACTAAAATTATCAAACAAAATTTGCGTCACCCCTATCTATTATCTGTTTGCTTTTTTTGCAGTTGGTAAAGATATGAAGGATGAGAAGTCTTTAAAAAATTATTTTTGTAAGTTTATTTCTAAACGCAAAAACATTTAAAACAAAAGTTACTATTTGTGAAGGAATCTGGAGATAAAATGTGTACTTATGCTCCTAATGGGAGTTTTCATTTTTGTTCCTTGATTATTATTGTCGTATTTTTGAAAGACGTATACCCTCATCTCATTCTTAAGGACCTTTAATATTTCTCTCTTGTTTGTTAAGGTGACATGTTTTGGACGAGAGTAAAATCATTTCATGCGTAAAACTCGGCAACTGAAGGAGAGCGTCTGGTTCGCAATTGTCTAAATCGCATTTGTCCATTTAAAAGAAAATAAGGCATTAAAATCGTCGACGTGTCTTTGAAATTGACTAATATACGCATTTAAAGCTTATTTAATAATTTCGGAATAAATAAAATGATTTTAATATTATTGTTAATTATACGTTTGTCGCTTTATAAGCGTTATTTAATATTAAATAGGGAAGTGTGTAGGGAAAATGCAAGTGCAAGGCCGCCGCCTTTTGATTATGATGACGCAGGTTCAAACCCCCCGAGTTCGGTTTTTTTTTCTATAATCGAGCGCGGCAAAAAGAAGGAACAAACGATTGTGAGAGAGAAGTGTCACTTTGCAAATTTTTTCTAATATTTACGTGACGCCACTTACCGAACCACTGAGAGACTTAGAAGTACATTTATATCAAGGCAGTGACGAAGAAACCCCGAAGCAAAGACGACAATGCGCGACACCGTGCGGCTCACCCCACACAAATTCCCGCCGGAAAACTTACACTTCAACGTTGGCATTTTAGATAGTGTATGGTTGGTTGCCTAAGTGGCTGTAAGCTTCCGATATTCATTTCTTTAGTCGGTGATCGTACGTTGGTTTAGGTTTTAAAGTCGCGAGACGACCACATTTGGTATGTAGGTACCTTCGACGCTGTCGTACCGAACAGTGGACGCTGTCGTACCGAACAGTGGGGTACGTAAAATGTATTCGAGGGGGGGGGGGGGGGGGACAAGTTCGTGGCACATCACCAGTCACCCAGTGCGTACCAGAGAGAGGGAGGAGAGGGGGGGGGGTTAGAAATAGAAATTGGGTTGCAGGTTGCTGATGCTGGTACTCATTTATCTATTTATTATTGGACAGGTGAAAAAGATTAGGTTAGAACGGTATTTTATTTCTTACTGCTGACAGGCCCCTTTATTGCTTTTGCTGTAATTAGTCAACGAAAACTTTGAATAATAGATATATTTATGGGCAAAAAACCAATTTCGACAAAAAATTTCAAAGGCTGTAACTTTTGAACTAGTAGCCCAATCTTGGAACTGTTTGAAATTATGGATTCTACAGGCCACATTCTATAAGAAAATTTTTTTTCCGGTCGATCTGAGACAATTTTTTTCTTGGGCCAAAAAAAAAAGGCAGTGTATAACCTTCCTTTTTTACCAAAAATCGACTGCACCAAAATTTCTCGGGAAAAAACTTTTTCTTATTAATTTGGGCGCGTAGAATCCAAAACGATTGGTACTTTTTCGATTAGACGTCTCAATCAAAAATTATGGGCAAAAAAAGATCCTGTTTTTAAAATTTAAAATTCTTATTTTCGTCATTTCGTGAAAGGCAGGACGCAGGTACCTCACCTCAGTAGCAGTACTAAGTACCTGATACCTATTTGTTATTTTGGGCATCAATGTAGCGAATTGCCGATCGATGCCGAATAGCCAAATCGTTGACTGGCAACACTGATCACTCACTGAATAGTGAATACTGAATACTACAGAATATTTAGATTTTAGTGACTTTAGACTTTAACCAAAACCAAAATTGCTCTCTATATATACCTATATAGTATTGCCTTTATTTTAAAGTGGGCGGAGCGGATAGCGGAGTGTTACCTAAATACCTAATAGCTATGATGATAACTCAATTCTTCTGGGGGGGGGGGGGGGGATATATCCCCTTCACCTCCCCCCCCCTGTAAATACGCCACTGGTACCCAAGCCAGCCCCGAGAGACTGCGCAACTAAAAATTTAAAATGAAACTAGGTATTACCTCCCAAACTAAATGAACCCCATGGCAATGATCGTGTAGAGTGTAGACAAAGCTACCTCGAGAGCTACCTAGCCTGAACAACAAAATACTAGAACCCAGTGGTCAAATTGTGGGAGTGAGGGGGATGCGGGGGTATGGCATACCATCCCTTTTTTTTATAAATAATGAAAACGTACCCCTACGCCCCAGCCCCCACGTACATAATGAAACAAAAACGTTTCCCCAAGTATTTGAAGACTGTTTGAACAAAAATAAAAGTTAAATTTCACAGGTCGTACCTGAAAATGACAAAAATACACTGTCCATCTGCTAAACAGTAAATTAAAGGTATCTATGTACGTTGTAACAAAGCACCCGGAATTTCTGAGTGGAGTTTGCCGTTTACGAGGACTACCCTGTATAGTAACGATTGGTTTGGGCTTCGTCTATCTTCTTTATTCAAAGGGCTTCGTTACATAGAAAATCGTAATTTCGCGATGCCATGGAGACAAGGAGATACCATAATTAATTAGTCCGCCTACGACCGTTCCTGTTGGAACTTTGGAATTATTTTTGTAACCACCGAAGGCTCTCATCCTGAAGAAGATGAAGAACAATTAATATTTTTGGTTTCAGCGCCTGCAAGAATGAGATAACCGCCAACAGCCTTTGTACTTAACATAAAGTTAATTGATGTAAAGAGTTCATGTACTTCACTTTGGACCTTTGAGTATGTATAATTAGCATGCACTTATTAAATAAGTTACAGTAAAGAAGCACCTACCGAGGAGAGTTTGGTGTCAAATGGTGCGCGCTTAATTAACGAATCGATTGCCAGATGTTCGGGAATTTTAACACAAACAGGGGCCGAGTAATAAATTAAAAATCGAATTGACTGGTTTCGGTTTCGTATTAAATGCGCGACGAGTTGGATTTTCCCTGTTCCATTTCTACCAAGTTGGGTTTTCTTCATAAGGAACACTCAATTTTGGAAGGATCTATCTATCCTTTTGCGTTCAACGTGCCGGAAATAAGTTTGATCTTTTGTCTGTTTTATTGACCTTTGTCCAACCGCGATATTAATTTCCTAAGGTAATCCGTTTTTTAATTACATAGGGGGAAATTGTTTGTATCCGTTATCCCGAATTTGCCCGCTATAAAAACCGCCACTTTCACTGTGACTAACTACTTTTCTTCCGTTAGGGAATTTGCCGGTAGGCCATATTTTGTTTTAGAGTTCCAGCCAGTACCGCCGCCATTTGCTAAACCTGACCGCCGACTCCTGGAATTAACATCTTCGATTGAGACTACTTCCGAGACTACCGAAACCGACCCGTTCGTCCGTGATTACCGCCGACATCGTCCAGGCGGGAGATTTTCGTCCGGTGGCGCCCGAGTCCGTCCCCTGTACCGCCGTTTCGCCGATTTCTACCGCCGACTACCGCTTAATAAATTACCATTTGTGTATAAGAAAAATAGACTCAAATAATAATTTCACTAATTGGTCTTTAATTCCTCCAGCTCACCGACTCTGGGCGAGCCGCTTTCGGAGCCGCCCAAGTTCGCCGCAACGTGCCGGTGCGTCTGTAATGAGCAATGAGCATTATTGAGTAGGCGCCTCTTCTTAGTAAACAAAATAATTTTCTGCTCTGTACTTGTGGGTCTCGTACATGGTGTCAAGTAAACTTAGAATTTTTAGATGTCATTTGTCACATTAATAGAGTTCATTAAAACTGAGATTGTCTTTTAATCAAATTTAACAAAATACACGGATTTGGTCTCAGCGGTGTCTATCCCCAAATCGTTCATGGTAGCAGAGCGTGGTTTAAATAAGATGGATGCATTAATTAGAAGGAAGAAAGTTTTGAAAATGAAATTCACAAAGATAGTCAATGAGAGCTATAAACTCATTGACGATGACATGCCTCCAAAGAGCAAGGCATTGTCTGAAGTACGGAGCATCATGAAGGAGCTTACAAACTTATTTGCAACACTTCAAGATCTATCGTGTGTGGCTGATAACGAAGATCGCCTGGACGAATTGATAGATGAAGAAAGGTCAATTGATGATAGGTACAACGAGTTCAAGACCACAATTAATGAATACGGTTATGAAACGAGTTCAATCACTGGAAGTAACAAAGTTGCGACCAGTGTCCGAAACCTCGATGACGCATCGAGTTTGAAAACTGTAGACGCGCTACCTAACAACATCGATGGAAGCGTTATAGAAACGAGTGGTGTTGAACCGACTAGCCCCACGATTCAGAAGGCGAGTGGTGGTCGGCTCGGCTCGGCTCCGCGCTCAGTTCAAGAATCTTCCTATAGCGATGCAGATAACGATGCGCAGCACGATCTGTATGAAAACCAGACTAAAGCGCAAGTACATTCACTTAATAAACCTGAATCATACAAAGACAAAATTTGCAATTGTCAAATTAATTGTCAAATTAAAACTCCAGCGAAGGAGTCAAACAAACCGAAAGACAGCTCAAACAAACCCAGCATTCAATCTATCAGCGAACACGATCAGCACTTCGTAACATCTCGGGGTAGTAAGCAATTCCTTGATACGCAAGTTCCTGTCCTCGATCGTTCGCTTAGATCCGATTCGCTGCATTCACCTGTCAGGTTTGCTAAACCAAATTTCTTTCCCGAATACTATCATCCAATGTTCCAACCTGTTCGCCTGAAGCCCTTGGAAATAGAAGAATTTGATGGTAAACCGGAAAATTGGGAAACCTTCCGTGATACTTTTGAAGCCCTGGTACACGAAGTGGATACCATTTCTACCATAGAAAAGTTCAAACGGTTACAGCAGTACCTAGCAAAGGGAAAGGCAAGGTCATTCTTGCAAATTGGCATGTTGCAAATGAAAGCAGCTAGAGATGAAAGCCCTACAGAAATAAAAAGGATCATCGATGGATTCAAAGGTCATTTGCGTGGATTGCATTCCATTGGTTAAGATAACAACGTCACAGTTTACCAGATTCACATTCTCTTACAAAAGCTGGACGAAGGTACACGAAAAAAGTGGGAAGGTAAAATGTCGACTACATCAGAAATTCCAAACCTGGAAATGCTGTACAATGTAATAGAAAAAAGGGTAAGAGTTTTGGAAGCTGCATTTACGTCACAGAAGTCAAAGAATAGTAAACCCCACGTTCTTGCTATTACTAAAGGCGAATCTTGTGCTCATTGCAATAGAGAAGGCCACACAATTCGGAGATGCCGAAGTTTTAAAAGTAAATCGGACGCGGAGAAGTGGAACATCGTGAAAGACAAGAACTTGTGCTTCAACTGTCTTCAATCGAACCATTTTACCAAGGAATGTCTCGGCGGTACTTGTCGTGTATCCGGTTGTAACTCTAAACATCACACCTTATTGCATCAAGCTATTAATCAATCGAAACCTTCATCCGCCTTAGCTGCATTATTGGGACGTGCGGGCAACGAAATATTTCTCAGTACTGTCAGAATCAACATAATCGATGCTAGAGGTAGAATTCGTTGTGCACGTGAGCTCATAGACTCGTGCAGTCAACAGAACTTCATGACAGAAGCATTCCTTAAGATACTTGGTCTTCAAGCTCAAGAATGCGACAACGTCTTCGTTGGTGTGGGAAAAAATGAGAGTCGTGCATATCACATGGTAACTGCTAAGTTCAGATCTCGAGTCTCTAAATTCTCGAAGACCACAGATTTCATCATACTAGAAAACATCACCGAACTGCTTCCAAATAGCTACATCAACATCAAAGACTGGAATATACCAACTACTATTACTTTAGCTGATCCCAACTTTAATCAACCTGGAGCAATAGACGTCCTTCTATCTGCAGAGACATTCTTTGAAGTTCTACAACATCAACGTCTCAATCTTGGTGCAGACAAACCTAAGCTTTTCGATACTTCGTTAGGCTGGATCGTAGGGGGTACCTTTACCGATTCCAGTACCGTTCACATGTGTTTATCAAAGCCAGTAGGATGCACTGTCGTCACACAGAAGACATTGAGCAATCTTCTTGAGTCATTTTGGTCCATCGAACAGTACGATTCAGACATTCGTCATCTATCAGCGGAAGACGAATTTGTGGAACGTCACTTTTCTGAAACCTATAAATTAGAAAATGGCAAATTCGTCGTAGAACTGCCCTTCAAAGAAGATCCTGCGAAATTGGGGAGTTCAAGGAAAAGAGCCGAAGCAAGCTGGTTGTCAACTGAACGTAAATTCATCAAGAATCCCGAATTAAAAAAGCAATATCATGACTTCATGCAAGAGTATCTGTCTCTTGGTCACATGATGCTAGCTCCAGCACCGGAACTCATTCGTTACATTATGCCCCATCATTCAGTATTTAAAGTCTGTGCAGACGTGAAGAAGATTCGTGTTGTTTTTAATGCATCATCCAAGACCAGCACAAATATATCACTTAACGACTGTATGCCTCCTGGTCCTCGCATCCAAGACGAACTTGTTAATATACTACTTCGATTTCGGTCTCATCCTATTGCACTCAACGCAGACATAGAAAAGATGTACCGACAAATCCTCGTGCATCCTAGAGATCAGTTGTTCCAAGGAATAGTTTACCGTCCAAACATTACAGAACCTATAAGAATTTATCAACTAAAAATGCTAACATATGGTACAACTCCAGCGGCTTTCATTGCTACACGGTGTATTCAAGAAACCATCTAGTTGAATGCCGATTTGTATCCTTTAGCTGCTAAGGTTGCAGTCAATTCTTTCTACATGGACGATTTCCTCAGCGGTTCCTCCTCTGAATCCGAAGCTATCGGTGTACGAACCCAATTACAAGACATGTTGCAATCTACCGGTTTTCATATTTGTAAATGGTCATCTAACAGTCGTAAAGTCTTGCAATCAATTCCTGACCATCTCAGAGCCATTGAAGATGAACTGAAGATAGACACAACCGACACCGTCAAAACCTTAGGACTTGTTTGGCATCCCTCTTCGGATACTTTCAACTTCAAATCTACACCGTTCAATGAAAAGGTTACGAAGAGAACTACCTTGTCCGACATTGCAAAGCTATTTGATCCCCTTGGATTCGTGTCACCCATCGTTATTTTAGCAAAGCTATTCATGCAGTTACTTTGGACTGAAGAAGTTGATTGGGATGAACAATTACCTAACTCATTAATGGTTAAATGGTTGCATATCAAGCATAATCTGCAAGAAGTCTCCTGTATACGAGTGCCAAGGTGTATAGTGACCACAGATACCCCAAAACAGTTTCATCTGTTCGGATTTTCTGATGCTTCGAGTCAAGCTTATGGAGCTTGCCTCTACTTAATTGTAATTTACGAAAATGAAACCATCACTTCACGTCTAATTTTATCCAAATCAAAGGTAGCGCCCTTGAAGACGCAGTCAATACCTAAACTAGAACTCTGTGGATTCCTGATGCTGAGTGATTTACTGGAAAGTATCAAGAAAACATTAAATTTATCGCTCACATCAATCAAAGCATTCACCGATTCCACAATAGTACGATTTTGGTGCAGAAAGGAATCATTCCACTGGAAGGTGTTCGTAGCAAATAGAGTTGCAAAAGTCAGAAACATCTTAAAGCAAGAAGAAATCCATCATGTTCCTACTGACCAAAACCCAGCCGATCTCATCTCTCGAGGGGTGGAAACTTCAATACTTAAGGAAAGTGAATTATGGTGGCATGGCCCACAATCTCTGATACGACAACTCTTATACGACAATGAAATCAAAACTGATCCAATCTTAACATCCGAAGATGAGAAGCAAATTCAAGGAGAACAGAAACCAGTGATCTTAATAGCAACGAAATCAAATTCAATTATCGTCGACATTCTAAAGTGTTGTAGCACTTAGAAAAAGCCGTAAGAGTTCTTGCATACGTCCAGAGATTCATCATCAACGTCAGGAACATTGCAGCACGAGAATTACGTTGGCAACGATACTTGAAATACAGTGAACTGTTCGCGGCTAAACTTCTTTTCGCACGGCAAGCCCAACTGCAAGAATATGAAGAAGAGACTTTGTATTTACAGAAAGGTTTTACCATCGCGAAATCCAGCAAACTATTGTCGTGTAACCCTTTCTACGATGTCAAGAATCAAGTTTTGAGAGTGGGTGGTAGATTGGAACACAGCGATTTACCTTTTTCACGAAAGCACCCAATTATTCTTCCACCAATGCACCGCTTCACAAGACTTTTGTTTGAATCGCAACACAGATTTCTACTCCATGCCGGCCCATCATTCCTACTAAGTCACGTACGTCGTCAATGGTGGCCTATCAACGGCAAACGTGTTGCAACATCTGTTTACCGTAAGTGCGTCAAATGTTTTCACGTTAATCCAACTGATAATTGTGGTCAACTTATGGGAAATCTACCTGCATCCAGAGTCTGTCGGCCTTCAAAGGTTTTCATCAATTCAGGTTGTGACTATGCAGGGCCTTTCTTCGTCCTTCAACATCACGGAAAAAGATGCAAGACGTTCTCGAAGGCGTATGTAGCTCTCTTCGTGTGCATGGCTACCAAGGCTGTACATCTTGAAGTCGTAACCGATACCCGCACTGAGAAGTACATCGCCGCTTTAAGAAGATTTATAGCTGTTCGTGGAAAAGTGGCTGAAATGAATTGTGACAATGGCTCAAACTTTCATGGTGCCGATAGCGAAATGAAGGATTTCCGTCAAATGCTCAATTCGGTTAAGACTAAAGAAGCACTAGAAAAAACGTTTAGTGAGGATGGGATCAAATTCAATTATATACCAGGAAATTCACCACATATGAGAGGATTATGGGAATCTAACGTAAAGGCCGTTAAATATCATATGAAACGTATAATTGGAAATTCAAAATTAAACTTCGAAGAATTTTATACACTTATCAAGCAGATCGAAGCATGCCTTAATTCTCGTCCACTTTGTAAACTCACAGATGACCCTGATGACATGCAAATATTGACTTCGGGACATTTCATCACAGGGGATTCCATGGTCGCTATCCCTGAACCAGATTACACTACCGTTCCATGTAACCGACTTAAACGGTTTCAACTAGTCCAAAGCATGTTCCAGAATTTTTGGAACATTTATCGTAATATCGTCTTTGGAGATCTGCAAGTACGAACTAAATGGAAACAGCCTAAAGAGAATTTGAAAACTGGCGACCTTGTACTTGTCAAGGATGACAATCAACCACCACTGCAATGGTGAATGGGTAAAATCTTAAGAGCATTTCCAGACAAGTCAGGAAGACTTCGCCAAGTTGAACTAAAATGCAACGATCATGTTATCACTCGATCAGTACATCGCCTTTGTAAGCTTCCACTGGAACATGATTATCACTTACCGTCTACTGAAAAATAATCAATAATTTCGTAGTTTCAACAGAAATTCTACGCTGTTGTGAATATCATATTGTTTACGTTCATTTGCATTAATTTCTTTTTTTTTTTTAAATTTGTTTATTGGTACAAATTATCATTTTAAGACTATGTTATATGTTAAATTGAAGGATTTGCTTATGGAATTTTACGTCGCTTCAAACTTATCGTAAAATTGGTGGCCTATGTCAAGTAAACTTAGAATTTTTAGATGTCATTTGTCACATTAATAGAGTTCATTAAAACTGAGATTGTCTTTTAATCAAATTTAACAAAATACACCGATTTGGTCTCAGCGGTGTCTATCCCCAAATCGTTCACATGGTATAATAAAGTCTCGTACGTCTCGTATTAAAAATCCTAATTGTCAGGACCTTTTACGATTTTTGTAATAGGATACTGGATAGTATAGTTCACCGTGGTAAGTAGATATAAATAATCAATGTCTTCATTGTCTGTGTTGAGTGCATTTGTAATTTTTATTTAAGGCAACTCGTGGTTTCATCCGCTTCATCCATTTATTTAATAATCATTTTGTGATGTATGAACTGAAAAATGTTGTAACAGAATTTATAACACACTACCCAAGTTTTTTTTAAATATTTTTTTAACTCGAGTCTTTGGGCCGTTTTCGTTTGCAAAATTTAAATCCGTTGAGATGGGCGAATTCGACTCGAGAATCGTCGGTCTTTCGTTTTCCTTGCAGTAAACCGTTATAATTAATTGCGTGTGCACTATTTCTGTTTTCAGTTTTATCGTTGTGCTTGTGCTTGTGTGGTGTCGTTGAGTGAAGGATTAGGGATTTGGAATTGGTATGATATAGCTATAGAACTTCTCTGCCTAGTGCCTAAAGTCTAAAGTAGTGAGTGTGTGTATTATGCAAGACCCTACGAGTGAACCTATACCATGGAAATTGGTCTATGCATAATACCTACTTGATAAAAATGTAAGCCTAACATCATCTCGTTACATTAACGTTACCAGAGCCGGATTCAGGAGCTGGATATCAAGGAGCGCCGCCGCGAATTCACTTTACTTCACTTAAAATTAGTAGACCAACCTAATATGTACTAACTTTCATATAGAGCGTTCAGGAATTCCTATCAAATTTTAGTGAAAACTTAATTTTCTTAAATGTAAAGCCCATTTTTTTTGTCCAATTAATTCTACACGGAACAGTAAGGGTCGTTTGTAAAATTACTTACATCGGTTTTGTGGAAAAGAGAGCGAAAAGAAATTGGTATAGCTATTGCAGCATTTTTAATTACTTATATTCGAGCTGGTTTCGAGGTTGGGTTTGATCTCGGGTTTGATTTATTAAAACCATCAAAAACCAATACCATCCTGCCACGACACAAATAAATTGGACGCTAAAAAACGAGCTCAAACATGAGTTCAAAAAGCTGACAACCCTAGTTGCTAGAACGGGAACATGTTTAAAATTTTTGTGGGGTAATCCATGAAGTTTCGGACCGTTTAAGTACTAACATCTTATTTTTGCGTAGCATTCTAGCATAACAGAATAAGCTTTAAAAAATTTACTGGAAAAACCCATATGGGTTCTTTAAATGTAGCTGTTAATAGTTTCATCGTCCTTACAATATATTAAATTTATTTTATCTATTTTTATTTTTCATAGAAAAGTAATTGTTTCTTCACAGGTTTCATAAATAGAAACCAACAATAATTAAAAATGTGAAAATGGTGGGACAATTTTCGTTTCGTTCTACAAATTTTTCTGAAACAAAAACTTTCAATTATGACATTATTTTTTCGCATTTTTAAAACTGGGAATTAGACAAACTCCTGATCACACTGTATAAGTTCTTTGAACAATTGTTACACATGCAGTATAGTATTATAAACAAAATCATTTTCCGTAATTTGGGCGTTTCTCTTAAATAATTCTGCGGTTTCCACTCAGGAATACCGATGTAGAAAGTACAATCAAGTAGGTAATAATGAAGTATAAGTAATAGGCTTAAAAAATGATTCTTCAAAGTCAAGAGTAATGCGTAATTTTTGTTACATACCGAAACCGGCCTCAGGACTTGTAAAATAGCGGTGTCGAAAGTAAAACACCAAGAGGAAAACTTCACCGAACTTATACAGCTACAATAACAATAATGGCGTTTCCGTTCTTAGTAAAATAGTTGAATGTCGTTAAGAATTAAAGAGAACTTTGCACGACCTCGGCCGGCAAAACAAAGAAGTATTTCAATTAGAACAGATTTGCTACTGGAACAATGTAAACTAGTGGATGACAAAGAAAATACCTAGATGGTGTAGGAATTTAAATAAGAGCACAAGTCAAATAGTTACTTAAACGGATTGTAAATCAGGAATATCAATTGGTAAAAAAATAATGTTACAGACTGATCCCTAGAAACGCAAAATTCAATTCTAAAAGTGTTTGTCTTTTATTTTTTTTCGTACTTCCGAGACTAAAGTGACAACTTCACTCCATTATGACAAGGACTGAAGTGTCACTTTTTGTCCCGCCGGGATTAAATTTTACGAAAATCCCGGAAGGATGAAATTACTAACAAAGCAATTTCAGTAGGTTGATCCACATTTTGTATACTTCTTAAACGCATCGTACTGCTGTTCATATAGTTTTTTGGATTTCGGTGGTATCAATTCTTTACCTACTTTGGCTGCTTTTTATCAATATCAAATACACCTTTGTCACCCACACCAAAATTATGACACTAGCAATGACAGTTCCTATGGTAACTTGTTGAGCAGCGATTTTTTGAAAGAACGCGTTCTCTAACTCCATACATATTAAGTGTTTCAGTTTCGGAAGTACGAAAAGTATATACCTTGCGACTGAAGTAGTGGTCTTAATCCCTCAGGTAAATTATGGACTATGTACTACTTCAGTCCCGCGGTATATAATATACTATTTTTTTTGACAATTGATTTGGAGGTACATCAACCTTTGTTTTTAGCACCTTAAAACTAGATTATTATTTTAATTAGTTACAGTTTACAGTTTATTAATTAGGTTGGTCGCTTTAAGATACTGAACTGTGGTAGTAAGTGTAGCGAAGTCATTCGAATTTAGGGCTTCCTGGAGGTTGTTGGAGACTCCAAATGACCGACGAGGAGCAGCGTCGGTGGGACACTCCAACATAATGTGGCCCACGATGAGGTCAACTGCACATTGAGAACATTGCGGTAGTGCTTCTTTGCTGAAGAGATGTGCATGGGTGAGAAGAGTGTGTCCAATTTTTCCAATTGTTCTTGTTTTGATTGTTTATTTATTTTAGTTAGAAGTCGAGTAAATTTGCCTTTCCATTTACTATTAGTTAATTGTGTACGTAATTCTATTATCACTTTGTTTGAGTGCCTGTGTGTTGCCTGAATAGAGCCTTGAGATATTAAGTTGGTCTTGTAGCTTCTAATGTGAATTTTTTTAATTCCATAAAACTTAAAAGATGTTGGGTTGTTACATAGATTTGGATCTTATCCAGCTCTGTGTCTAACTCTTCTGGGCTAATTTGGCTTGCTTGGTCCGTTTCTAGTTTTTTAATCTTCTTTTTCTGTTTGTGGGTTTCGCTGTTTGGTTGGGTAAATATGTGGGTGGTTGTATCAAATAGATTTCCTTCTGGATCCATAGAGTGGCTTGAGGAATGCGTAGTGGTAGAGATCGCTCGTTTGTAAGATGGTGTGGTTAAGGGTGTGTTGTGGTGGTCGTTGTTATCGTTTTTTGATTAACCAGAGTATTTAAATTGTCACATGATTGGTTTTCAGCGTTGGTAGGTTTTTTGCGGTTTCAATGTCTACGTAGGTGTACCGCCTAAAGCTTATTAAGGTCCCGACAATTTTTTTAAACAAAAATCAAGCCCGAAAGTAACCATTTTTTTCTTTTTGGATAGGATATCGGACGTGCTCCTTCCAATTTAGTAAAAAAATGTCCAAAATTCTTAACCCAAGATATCTTATCCCTAAACGCAGTTGAGAAACAAAATTCTCATTTTTACCATTAAGTAAACGTCTTGGTAATTGCGTAGGAAAACCGCCAGAGAGAATATAACAAAATTCTTATAATATGTTCGTGGAAGCGAAAGATTCCTAGAGAGGGTTTCAGGGAATATTTAAAAAATCCTTAAATTCTCAGGGAAACATATTCGTAGTTTGTGAGAATATTAGGAACACTGTTCAGCTCTCGAGAAAGAAGTCTCCTAAAATTTTGAGGAAGTTTATTATCATCTTGGATCTTTATATGAAATTTGCTAGTCGATTTCTACAAGGATTCCCTAGACGGTTTGCAGGGCAGCTTCTAACGATTCTTTTAGCAATTGACTTCCAAAAGGAAAACAAGTTTTTCAAAACGTTTTGAAAATTTCCTTACCTTAAAGCCTTCAAAGAAATGTACGTTCTAAATTCCAAGTTTTTTTCGACTGTAAAACATAAGATCCTGTTTTTTTCCTGTTCCTGTACCTTTGGAACTAATCATTATGATCCACTTTTTCTCAGCAAGTGCTTTATATCGGCTGAGATAGTAGTGTCGTCTACAGTAACGGTATAAAGACAGATGTGACCATAATACTCCATGACGGCTATGTTTTTTCCACATAATGGTCTGATTGGTTTCACCAAATTAGTAGATTTTGTTATGGTTACAATAATGCTACCACAATTGCGTCCAGCAAGATAAATTCATCACCTGGTTTCCAGTTTAATTTCCACCACTTCGTTGTATTTGGCGAAAACCTGGCGGATCTCCCAACTACCAATTGAAAATAACACCACCATATGACAATGACGCAACTGTCTATGTAAAGTCACGGTCGAGGACACTGTACTTTACAGCAGTCAGTGTCAACGTCATCAGTAAAGGAAAGGAACATTTTTCTCTTGTCTGGTAACTTGTTTTAAAGCAGTTCTATATCGATTGTGCTCCAACCAGGGGACCTTTTGGTCAGTTTTTTGTTTGTTCATATTTAAGGCAATAAGGATGACCAGTTCGTTGCGCCATTATAGCAATACCTAAACCGAGACCTAGATCAGGTTTGTACTACAGTGGGTTGAACTCGGGAGATTGAGGAATTTGAACAATGCAACAATACTCCTAACGATCCCAAGAAGTTAAAACGATGAAATAATAACAAAAATTTAATATTCTATTTTCTGCACACTGCGTTTGAAAAACACAATGAATTGATACAATAATTTTTCTATATGTCAGCAATAGGACAATCGACATGATCCCTTTCAATACACTTTGAACGAGATCTATCAAAAGATTTGCCATTCTCGCATCTTAAGAACCGCGGTCCTTCTTGCGGAGATTTACAGTAGTAGTAATTTTCACAGTTATACTTATAAGGAAATTTTCCTGCGACTAAGCACGACTTTGTAATGTCGTCATTAAAATGAGGTTCGATAATTGCGCTGCTTTGTACCAACTCCATTGGATAACACTGGTTTTTGGTGACATCAAATGCATAACCATTTGGGCAATAGAATTGGCGAGCTACGTAAGATTTAAGGATAGTACTCCAATTGCATAGGTAATATCTATTGCCATATCGAGGATGCGGCTTATATCCAGAACTGTTGCATGTCAAAGGCGGATCCCCAGGACATACCACTGGCGCGCTTGTACAACTTTTTATATTGTGACTAAATCGCTCTCCAGCCGGGCATTGAATTTGGGTCTTCTCTTGCAAGGTTTCGTCGCATATGTAATACACATCGCACAAGATACTATCACCAAAAACACCTTCGCTGCTACAGTTGAATCTTTTCTGGCCGCCGTCATCTCTGTTTGACACACGAATGCTTTTTTCAACGAACCAATCAGTATCACTGGAATCATTTGACGGCTCATTTGATATATCGCTATGATTAGACCGACAGTGCAGAATCATTCCGTCATCGGTTGGTGAAACTGTACACGCACCACCGTTATCATTTGCATTTATAGTTATTACGGAAGACTCCCCAAGCTCCATAGTGAATTCTGATTGATTCATTTTTATTACAATCTGCAATACGTCACAAGCAGAGTTTGTTAGCACTTCCCCTGGGTGGCAACTGTCGGATCTCTTGCCTACGGCATCTTCCAAAGGCGCTGTTTCACATTCATTTTCAGTAGTGGAAATTAAATCAGCAGATTCGGTTATAGGTTTTTCAGAACTTATTTGCACTGCTTCTTCAGTAAAGCACTCTTCTTTCTCATCTGTTTGCGTTTCAGTCTCGGTGGGCGATATTTTTGTTACTGAAAGTGTAGTTGAATCTGCTTCAGATGTGAGAATGGTACTTGAAACAAGTTCTTGTTTAGAGACTGTTGTAGCCTTCGACTGTGGTTGCGTTATATCAATCGAGCACTCCTCCTGCTCAGATGAGCCAATTACTTCCGTAGTCGCCTCATTTAAGTCAATCGTGGATTCGGACTCTTCTGTAGAACACTCTTCTAGTTCCATCGTTATATTCCCATGGGTTATTGGAACTTCACGTATAGTCGTACTCTCTGCCGTTGTAGTAGTTTCATTTGCCAGGGATGTTGTATGTTCTGTCGTCTGTGAAGGTGGTGTGATAACTGCTCCTTGCGTGGTTATCGCTATACCTTCCGTTGTGGAAGCTCTCGCAGTAGTTGTTGGAACTGCCGTTGCAGTTGTTGGTCCTTGTGTTGCGGTTGTTAGGACTGGAGTTGTAGTTGTTGGTCCCGTTGGTGTGGTTGTTGGACCCGGCGTTGCAGTTGTTGGTCCCGGTGGTGTGGTTGTTGGACCTGGCGTTGCAGTTGTTGGTCCCTGCGTTGTGGTTGTTAGGACTGGATTTGCAGTTGTTGGTCCCGGTGGTGTGGTTGTTGGACCTGGCGTTGCAGTTGTTGGTCCCGGTGGTGTGGTTGCTGGACCTGGCGTTGCAGTTGTTGGTCCCTGCGTTGTGGTTGTTAGGACTGCAGTTGCAGTTGTTGGTCCCGGTGGTGTGGTTGTTGGACCTGGCGTTGCAGTTGTTGGTCCCGTTGGTGTGGTTGTTGGAACTGGCGGCGCAGTTGTTGGTCCCGGTGGTGTGGTTGTTGGAACTGGCGTTGCAGTTGTTGGTCCCTGTGTTGTGGTTGTTGGACCTGGCGTTGCAGTTGTTGGTCCGGGTGGTGTGGTTGTTGGACCTGGCGTTGCAGTTGTTGGTCCCTGTGTTGTGGTTGTTAGGACTGGAGTTGTAGTTGTTGGTCCCGATGGTGTGGTTGTTGGAACTGGAGTTGCAGTTGTTGGTCCCGGTGGTGTGGTCGTTGGAACTGGCGTTGCAGTTGTTGGTCCATGTGTTGTGGTTGTTAGGACTGGAGTTGTAGCTGTTGGTCCTGGTGGTGTGGTTGTTGGAACTGGCGTTGCAGTTGTTGGTCCCGGTGGTGTGGTTGTTGGAACTGGCGTTGCAGTTGTTGGTCCCGGTGGTGTGGTTGTTGGAACTGGAGTTGCAGTTGTTGGTCCCGGTGGTGTGGTTGTTGGACCTGGCGTTGCAGTTGTTGGTCCCGGTGGTGTGGTTGTTGGACCTGGCGTTGCAGTTGTTGGTCCCGGTGGTGTCGTTGTTGGACCTGGCGTTGCAGTTGTTGGTCCCGGTGGTGTGGT